CATTTTCCTGTTTTTATTCAAACAGTAGCAAACACTGGCTTACATCTGGATTTGTCACCTAATATTATATGTTGGCAGTCATTCCATACTACCATACAAAGGGCTTCCTCATTTTTACATCTGCAAGGTAATCTTCCATGTTTCTTCTCACTTGAGCCAGTACACCAGCTTGCATCTTTGTATTTTTAAGAGATATATTTCCTTTTTGTGATCTGTCTGTTGAGATCTTTGGTACAATTTTCTGTTGGGTTGTTGGTATTTCTCATGTTGATTTGTAGGAAATTAAAATTTATTTTTTTGGTGCTGGGGATTGAATTCAGGGCTATGCACAATACATATCCTGATCTGTAAGAAATTTTTATTAGTAAAATTAGCTCTTTATCTAAGTTATAAATTGAAACATAATTTTCCTTATTAGTTGTTTTCTTCTAACTTTGTTTATCATAGATTTTGACAAGAGGAATTTTTAAAACTTTGTCTGTATTGACTTTGTGTCATCCTTAGAACTGATGGGTTTATCCCACATTTTAATGGTTTTTTTCCTTTTACAATACAAATTTTGATCCATTTGGAACTCATCTTGATTTAAGGTTTGAAGTATGATGAAGTATCTCAAATCTGTAATCCCAGCTACTGAGGAGGGGAGATCAGGAGGATCTCGGTTTGAGGCCAGTCTGGACAAAAAGTTAGGAAGATCCCATTTCAATAAATAGGCCAGGCACATTGAGTCATACTTGTAATCCCAAATAAGAAGGAGACATAGGTATAAAGATTTTGGTCAAAGGCTAGTTGGGATAAAAATGAGAGACTCTATCTGAAAAAACATTTAAAGCATAAAAGGGCTAGGGTTGTGGCTCAAGTCCCAGAGTGTGTCACTTGTCTAGTGAGTATGAGGGCTTGAGAAAAGCCCAGGACATGAAGTTTAAGGTGTGAATTCTGGTTTAATTTTTTTCAGATGTCTTTTTGAATTGAGATCCCATCTTTAATTATACTCTCTCCTAAGTATTTGAGTCGTAACTAGTTCTGTCATTCTATCTATTTATGTGCCAGTACCACAAAGTTTCAGTCATTATAGATTTAAAATATTTTAATATCTGGCAGGACTAGATCCCCTTATTTTTCTTCTTTTATGTATATTTTTGCTCTTGAACTTTATAATCAATCCAATTTTATTAGACTATGAATAGAAAAAAAATTTTTTCCCCTATAAAATGTGCCTAGGTCATAGAATTGCAAGTCATATAAAATGTATAAAGGGGCTTAATGTGATAGAGCATCTGCCTGCCAAATTTGAGGCCCTGTGTTCAAACCCCAATTCTGCCCCTCCCCCCCAAAGAAACTTAATTTAGGTTTTATAAATAATGACAATATGATCAATTTAATTCTTTTGGATGATAGAAGTGGATTGATAAAATTCCATTTAATGAATGAATGTAAAGAAAATATACTTTGTGGATGGTGGTATAGCTCAGTGGTAGAACTTTTGCCTACCATGTACAAGGCCCTGGGGCCAAAAAAAGAAAAGAAATAGACAAGATCAGGACAGAACGGCCCACTACAGATCCACATGGTGGTATGCACTCGTGCCCCTGGAGTCTTTGGGCAACATCTGGACACAGTTCTGCTTGTCATGATTGTAGGGGTCACAGTGGTGGCACCTCTAGCATTTACTGAGTGGGAGACACAGCTGCTGCTAAACATCTGTAATGCACAGCCTCACAGCCCCCGATCCATCATCTGCCACACAAATGTCAACAGTGCAGAGGTTGAGAAGCCATGATTTAAAGGAGAAAGAAAGATACATGTTTTTGGTTTTGGTTTTATTTTGTTTTTTAATAAACAATGGAAGAAGAAGATGTAGTGTCCTGTGAAAGAAAACCTTGGAAATCTAAATCAGTATCAGAATGCACCTGTGTATCGTGAGCTATAGGAAGATGTTTGCCAGTTTTTAGCTAAGGATTGAGACAGGGTGGCATAGAATGACTTTGAATGAATGAGTTGAGTTTAGTTAATAATGACTTTTCCTGGAACTATTGGGACTTGTATCTGAGATGCTTCATTATCTTAGAAAGGCCAATAGAAAAACATACATTATGAAATGTCTTTATATTTGTCAATTTTATTAGTACAGTATTGTACATCATTATTGTTTTAATGCATATTGCTATAATTATGCATGAGACTTGTAATAATAGGTTACAAATAATCAAATATAAGGAAGTCATTTATATTTTATTAATTTTTATTACATAGTGTTAACTTATTGACTTGTGTACTCTTTAGGTATTAAAATGATCAAAGTTTTTTTTTTGCCATTTATATATCATAAACAAAAGCATAAACTGGTCAGGTGCTGATGGCTCATGCCTGTCGTCCTAGCTACTCAGGAGGCAGAGATCAAGAGGATCACAGTTCAAAGCCAGCCCAGGAAAATAGTTCAAGAGACCCTATCTTGAAAAAACCCATCACAAAAAAGGACTGGTGGAGTGTTTCAAGGTGTAGGCCCTGAGTTCGAACCCCAGTATCACAAAAAAAAAAAAAAAGAGAGAGAAAAGAAAGTATAAACTGTTCCTGATAGCTGGGCCTGGTGGCACACATCTGTAATCCCAGCACTGTGGGGCTAGGACAGAAGGATCTCAAATTCAAGGCCAGCTTGGGTTACACAGAGAGACTCTGCCTCAGAAAAACAAAACAAAGTGTTCCTGGGCTATAATGTGCTTTTGTTTTCAGAGATATAGTTCATGAGGCTCTCAGCATCTGACTAATGTAAATTAACACTTTTTTCTGTGTATATTATTTCTTTTTGTAAAATCTTATTCAGGGGCTGACAGAGTGGCCTGCATACCAATCACTAGACCCTGAGTTCAAACCCCAGGACCACCCAAAACACAGTCCCAAAGATAGTCCCTGTACTTGGGGTTAGGGCTTCACCAAATGAATTTGGTTGTGTGTGTGAGAGACATAATTCAGTCCAAAATAACCACAAAACACAAATATATAGAAAAATATCAACATAATAAAAAGAAAATAGACAAATCAAAGACTTTTTTGTTTTTGCCCAAATGCAGACTTAATCAGTGGTTCTTATCTATTAATTTCCAATACTAACAATGATGCAAGTATATGTGGGTTTAATTACAAGCCCAGCATTAGACAAATAAATTGGTTAGTTTTATATTGTTCTTTTAATTTGATCTTTCTTAATGAATTTGCTAGGTTGAATGTTTGTTTCCCCTTAGATTTCTTTGTCACTTAATGTTTTTCTCATTTATGTTCATTAAATATATCGGGTCAATATTTTTCTTACATGATTAAATTCCTTTTGAATAACCTAGACACAGCCTAAAGCAATATTAGAAAAACTTACATGTAAGTTTTCTAGTAGTTTCCTAACTTCTACAGTTGTCTTTAGGAGAATTAAATAAATGAAATAAATATATATGAAGTTCCTATTAAAGAAGTAGGTATCATTGGAAAAGTTGGTTTACCATAAGACTGCAAGTATGTCGGTAATCCACATCCAAGAATGGGAGCGGCTGGCCCTGGGTTCAAACCCCAGCACTGTCAAGAAAAGAAAAAAAGAATGGGGATGCTCATGGTGCTTACAGGGTGGGAAGACTAAAACTCTGCCAAACTATTTCTTGGCACCAAGCCAGACCCCAAGGAACTGGAAATGAGAAATGCAAGGATACACAGTACAGTGACGTCAGACAGTAGGAATTGCTAAGAACCCTACTGGCAGGTACTGGAGTAAAATGCCGAAGATTGCTCAAACTGTTTGTGTGGTCATTCTGCAGATATTTGGGACACTGTCAGCAAACTGTGGGGCTACTGATGCCCTTTCGTTTGGCCAAAGGAAATGCAAAAGCTATTGTATGGAGGCGGGTTCCCTATTTTTTTCCATCCATTTTTTTCTAATTATTGCCAAGTTGTGTTGAAGTTTAAAAACTGCCTCTAACCACCTCAAAACATCTCCTTTTCTTTATTATTTGCTGATTTGCTGTTTCTCTCCCATCATCATTATATGGAAGATACAAACTATTTATCCTGTATTCTGGGCTGAACAACATGGATGGGAATCTTTCCCTTTGGATTCTTTAAAAAAATTTTTTTTACTTTCTATTTTTTTTTTTATTGTTGTTGTACTGGGGGTACATTGTTCTTACAATATATCCTTGAATTCACCCCCCCTCCATCATTCTCCATTATTCCGCCTCCTCCCATTCTTAGCACAGCTTCAACAGTGTCTCATCTTTCCATTTTCACACATGAGTACGTAATATTTCCACCATATTCACCCTCCTACACCCTTTCCTTACATCCTCCCCTCTCACACTGGTGTCACCCCTCCTTCCCCAGACAGCATCCGTTTTACCTTCCTGTTCTCCATTTTTTTTTTTTTTTTCTGGCAGCACTGGGGTTTGACCTAAGAGCCTCACGCTTGCTAGGCAGGCTGTACCACTTGAACCACTCCACCAGCACCTGTTCACCGTTTTTGAAAAAAAGACATTTTTGTTTGTAAAAGATAGCTATACAGGGAGTTTCATTGTGACATTTCCATGTATATATGTATTACAATCCGAATCCCTTTGGATTCTGATAAGATTTCTCTTTCAACCCCCCCCCCCCCACACACAGACAATGTAGAAGGCTGGGGCTAGACTGGGACCACAGCTATAGCTGACTCTTCCCTGGAAGTGATGGATCAGAGAGACTGGACTTGATTTTGGGTTTTGATATTCCAAGAAGGAGGTTCTTCAGTTTTGGGGAATCAGAGCCATCTGTGGGAATGATGAGAACTACGGATCCCCTTTTGCCCCAAAGCACCCACACTCCTGATTCTGCAGGGGCAGGCAGCTGCAGCTCTGTGCCCAGTCTCTGAGCCCAGCGCTAGGTCAGCCCTGGTGCAGGCTGCCCGTCAGGTTCGGAAGGGGGCGTGCCCGAGGGGGCGTGTCCTGGGCGGGGCCAGAGGCGGGCGCACGCCGCGCCCTCGCCCGTGCGAGAGGCCGAGCTTGCTGCATTGCAGCCGCCGCGGCGCCGCTCGGCTCCTCACTCCCAACAATGGCGGCTCCGAGCCCGAGCGGCGGCGGCGGCACCGGGGGTGGCAGCGGCAGCGGCACCCCGGGGCCTGTAGGGTCCCCGGCGCCTGGCCACCCGGCCGTCAGCAGCATGCAGGGTAAGGAAGACGGCCGCGCCGAGACCCCCGTCCCCTCGTGCGGCGGGCGCTGCCGTCGCGGCCTGGCTGAGCGGCCGCGGACGCCCACGGACCCGGCTAAGGAAGCCACCCGAGCCGCCCGAGCCTCCCGCTCTCCATCCCTTCCTCCCTCTTTCCGTCCCGGCTTCTCGCCTCTCCGCTGCCGGCCACCTCGGGTCCTGCCTGGACCCGGACTGCGGCCCACGCAGGCCCCAATCGCGGCCTCCGCCCGCGCTCGGCCCTGTCCGGCTCCCCGCCGGCCCTCCGGGCCCACCTGGCCCGGGACCGCCCCCGTGGCCGTCCCCTTCGCGCCCACCGCTTACCTGGCGCCCGTCAGGCCCTCGTTTCCGGGACTGCGCCGAGCTGGGGCTGCGGCGGGCGGGCCTCGCTCCCGTCCCTGCGGCCACGCAGGTAGGTGGCGGCGGCGGCGGCGTCCCAGCCCGGCGCCCCTCGGCCCCGCCGCCGCCGCCGCCGCAGTGGGGCCCGCTCAGGGCCATCTTGGGTCTCGCCAGGGCACCGCTGGAACCAGGCAGCCCAGCTGACCTCCGGGCCCCGTGGTGCTGCTGCTGCTGTCGGAAGCTACGTTTGCAAAGTTTTGCTGGGTTTCTGTGCGCAGGGAGGAGCGGGGGGTTGGTCAGGCCTGTGCCACCTGTAAGGTAGGTAGACAGCCATTAGCCTGGGAGAGAGAGGTATTTTGTTCCAGGCCAGAAAATTGTGTTAGCTAGTATTGCATACGGAAAATAAGGTAAAAATAGAAGACTGCATTCGGTTTACATGGAGGGTTTCAGGAAATGGAATGGCAGAGGTCAAAGTGGTAGTGTCTGGACATCTGAGGCAGCTCTCTTAATTAATAGCTTTTCCCACTGGGAAGGCTTATTAGCTCTGGATGGCTCTTGACAGGGGGTGTTGTGGAAATACTGGGCCCGAGCCCATTGGGGGCTATTTCGTTAAGTTTACTGGAGAATTTTGATTAGTAATACTATTTTTAAAAAAGAGAATCTCAGTAATTTCTTGACAGCTTTAGCAAATGACTTACATTGATTTGTTAGCAGAATCGGTTGGGGTTCTTTGGTAGTCAGTATGACCATGGTTAGTTTTTGATTCAATTCTTCCTAAAGGGCTCTCTTTGTGTCTAGTTAGGTTCAACAGTCATTTGTTGAATATTTTGTGTCTTTGAAAGCATGCTGTGATTCAGGTAGCAGAAACAGGATTTTTATTCATTTTTACATCACTCTCCATAAGACAATAAAAAATGTGATAAGAGATAGACAGGACACGTTCTGTGCAGGCCCTAAGCTAATTAATTCAAATTGAATTGTTATTGGGTGCCTACTACGTTGCACAGTACATAAAACAGAATACAAGATTGGTTTCCTGATCTTACAGCTTTCAAGTCTAATCGGTGGGAGGGGGAAATGAAACAGCAAAATGAAACTTTAGGATTGTATGGTTTGTTCAAAATAAGTGGCATAAAATAGTTCATATTTTCGTTTTTTTTTTTTCGAGTAGGTAGAGAGGCTGACAGTCTGAAAAAGCTTTTCAAGCATTTATTTTTGTTGTCGTTGTTGTCATCCATAAAAAATATTTATTGAGCAACTGTTGACAGCCAGGCATAGTACTGTAGTCTCTGTATAGAGAAGAGTGACTGGAACTGTCTCACCCCTGATGGAGCTTACCATTCTGTGAGCAGGGGGAGGGCAGACAATATGTAGGCACATAAGAAAAATTACTCATTGAGAAAAGTGTTATGAAGGTAACAAGCTGGGGTTTGTAATGGAAGATAATAGGATAGTCTGCTTGATAAGATGGTCTGAGGAGGACTGTCTGGAAAGAACAGAAAAGGGTCCTAGCAGAGGGAACAGTGAGTGTTAAAGTTCCCAGCAGGGAAGAGCTTGGAGTATTTAGAACTCAAAGTAAGTTGTGTAATTAGGAATTACTCTGGTGTTCTCCATTCTCCTCCCGTATGTCTGTGGTTTTTTTTTTTTTTTTTTTTGATACCAGTACACTGAGCTTTCCAACAAGCAGAACTCAATGTTAAGATGGAGAAGAGGGCCCCAAATCTGTCTGAATAATTGCTGAATTTTCTTTTATCAGTGTTGTGTCTATCTGACATAATCTTAGACACAACACTGATAAAAGACACAGTCTTAGATTCAGAAACATGCTAGTTCTGTCTTGTTCTTGAACCTCTTTTGGTTACTCAGTATGAAGAGACACTTGAAATTCTAAAGCTTTAGTTTAAGCTTTAGAGTAGGACCTCTTTTTTTGTTATGCTGTGTTATAGCCAAACCTCCCATACCTTATCTACCTATGATTTTCTTTGGCTTTATTTTTGTTTATTTTTGAGATGGGGTCTTGCTGTGTTTCCTAGACTTTTCTGTCAATCCTCTGTCCCTCCATTATCTGCTACTACTTGTTACCCAAAATATTACCTGTCTGGGAAAGGTTAATGATCATGCTCTTCCAGCCAGCAGGATTCAGTTGAAGGATATGTGGAATGCATTTCATCCAGCAGACATTAGACATCCTCCCGTGGGGTAGCCATCCTGCTGGGCACTGGATGACTCTGTGTACTTTTCCATGGCTTGACTTTTGTGACCAAATTGGGAAATACTGTTTTTTTTTAATACATATATTTATTTAATACATACTTATTTTAAAATGCTTAAGAGCCAGAACTCTGTAGTTCTGGTTTGACTCCCTTCTCCAGGATTTAAGCTTTTTATGGATATGGGCAAAGTATTTAACCTCTGTGAGTCCCAGTTTCTCAGTTGGAAAGTAAGAGTAATGCTATACTTCAGGAACTTTTAGAATGCATTCCAAACACCATGCATATAGTCAGGAGACAGTGCAGGTTAGCCACTATCATTAGCAACAGACCTGTGTTGTCTGCAATGCTGTTTGTCTCTTTATCTGGTGAGTCCCTAACCCCTCATGATCTACCTCACTTTTTTTTTTTTTTGTGGTACCGGGGCTTGAACTCAGGGCCTTCACCTTGAGCCACTCTGCCAGCCCTTTTTTGTGATGGGTTTTTTTCAAGATAGGGTCTTGTGGACTCTTTGCCTGGGCTGGCTTAAAACCGTGATCCTCCTGATCTCTGCCTCCTGAGTAGCTAGGACTATAGGCATGAACCACGGGTGCCTGGCACCCCCCCCTTTTTTTTTTTTTTTAATATTCTAGAGGATTCTTCATTATTCAACTCCAGATCTATCTTGCCTGGATCTGAAGATTCTTAAATGATTATAATATGAATGATATGAAGTAGAAGTCTAGCTGTAAATTTGTAGAGGAGAGGCTACGTAGATGGCAGGAATAGGAATTATAGTGAGTTTGGCTTTATAGTAGTCGTCATTCTGTTACATTTTCACACTAGTAGTTGTGATTTTTTTTTTTTTTTATTATACTAGGGTTTGAACTGCTTGGTAGGCATGCACTCTAAATGCAGCCCAGCAGTTGTGACTTCTAATCTGGCAATTTTCCTTTTTTTTAGCATTCTTCCCATTTTCTCTCAGATAATGGGGACAAGTTAGGTAATTAGTTTCATAAAAATATATTTGATATTAGGACAAGTTTGCTTTTGAGGAGAAAAATATTCAGATGAATTACTAGGAGATACCCTTTTATTGTTAATATTTCACCAATTTGTCATCATAGGTGAATTTAACTGGGAGGTTTCTTGCATATAGAGTATGTATAATACTGTGATTTTTTTTTTTTTTTTTAGTCAAAGAAGTTATAATAAACTTAAGGTATAAGAATGACTTGTTAATATTTGAGAAATGTTCTAACAAGGCTTGAGTTTTCTGTTATGGTAAATCAAAAGCCAGTGAATTTAGCCAGGTTAGTGAAAGTATGTGAAAAGAAGCACAACACATTACCTGATCTCAGGTGAACAAGGATTAAGTTTAGACCATAATATTAGGTAGTATAACTGCTTGCATGTAGCAAGCGTATTCTGGTGAATAGAGTTCTCCAGTTGAGAGTTCAGTAGCTTCTATGATGAAACAGCATAGGAAGGGTGATGTCTTCTGTACTAGTAGTTTTACATTTCCATGTAGTAATATTTTAGAAACAAAAAGATTTTGAAGTGAGGGAGGATGTTGGGTTTGGATCCAGTAAATGAAGGCTCAGGTAACTGCTTTGCCGTGTACAACATCTGTCCTTTTGGGGGAAATTGCCTTATTATTATTATTTTTTTTGGCAGTACTGGGGTTTGAACTCAGAGCCTTGCATCTGCTAGGCAGGCATTCTACCACTTGAATCAAACTATGGAGTTTCTCGTCTGCTAAAACAGAGATTAAAGATAACTTGTAGTCATAAAATTAATGCATGTGAAAATACCTTGAAAAGTATAAAGTAGTTATAAGTATATAAGGATTATTAGACATGATACTTACTTGCTTTTTTTTGCTAGTCATTTGTAATAGATTTAAAAGATCTCAAACATAAGTTAAATTCATTCTAAAGACTTAAAGCAGAGAAAAGTAAAGTTTTTCCTTAAATGTTACTTTGGTGGCTAAGAAATGTTACGTTAAAATGTTTTAATGTTGCTGGAATAAACTGGGCACCAGTGGCTCACGTCTGTATTCCTAACTGCTGAGGAGGATCATGGTTTGAAGCCAGCCTGGGAAGTAGAGCGCTTTGTACAGCGATCCTCCTCATCTCTTCTTCCTCAGTAGCTAGGATTACAGGCATAAGCTACCAGCACTTGACTAAAAAGCTTTTTTTATTTTGTGTGGTACTGTGCTTGAACTCAGGGCCTTGCACTTGCTAGGCAGGTGCTCTACCACTTGAGCCACTCCACCAGCCCTTGTTTTCTTTTTTAGTACATTTCTTCCACTCCATTTCTTTTCTAATTTGAAAAGCTGGATTTGTTTGGGCCCAGGGAGCTTTCCTTTCCTTATTTTAAGGAGTCCAAATGTCATAATCACCTCCATTCTACATAATCCAGACCAGTCATTTGCAATCTCTAGGAGATAGAG